ATACAGCATGCAGCATTTGAAGTTTAGCCATTTACCAAAAACAGGCATTTGAAGTCTAGCCTTAACATGTCTTTTTGCCGTTTCTGCTTGGTTTCATGGAGGCATCAAGTGGCAAGCATATTATAAGCATCAATATGCTCCACTTGGTGCAATTTTGTCTCACCTTCTCTTTGTCATTTGCATGTAATTTGTAGAATTATCTTCTCTGGTTTTCATGTAATGGAAGACTTTTTAGTCTTAATTTGCGAAAATCAATTTGGAGACTACCATCTTTGGTCATCAATTTGGATTTGATAGGTTGGCTCGGGTACCTCCTCTACTTTCCTCATATTGATTTGTATTTTCTTAATTCCAAAAGGTTTTCATATCCTGTAACATCAATAATTTTCAAAAAAAAGAACTGAATTTTATTTCCTTTGGATTGAAACTTCAAAAATTTGAGTGGAGTCAATATCAAGTGCTCGAAGTGAATTTGATTAATGGTGGGGATGCAACCTTCCTTTTTTTTTTTTTTTTTTTGGGTGGAAGGTTGGAATTGATCTTTTCAGGGGAAAGCCTCGTCATCATGTTTATCCCATGAACAATGGCTGTTTCGTCATTCGTGAGAGATCAAAAATAGAAAGGGTCAAATGTCAACTTTAGTTTCTAAAATTTTAATTTTGAATATGTTTAGTTTTTCCATCCTTCAACAATGAAAATTGTGCTTTTTGTCCTTTCGTCATGTATTAAGTTAGTTTAGTTGATATTTTTTTATTTGCTTTAATGACTTAAATGTGTATAAAAAAAATGTGTATTAAAAATATACGATAAATATTCATTTAGAGATGAAAATATGCAGAAAACAAAAGTTAAGGAATTAGAAAAATGCGAGCCGTATCAACTTAATAGACAAAACTAATTGAAGGATCAAAAAGTGCTTTTTCTCATTGTTGAGGGATGCATAAAAGTGTAAAAATAATTTAAAAGTTAAAATTATTCAAAATTAAAAATTTAAGAACTAAATTTAGTATTTAACCAACAATAAACCGGAACCAGGCACACCGTAGATGGCCTGAATCGCTTTGCCCACTTCGCTACCAAAAGCCACAGATCATATGCAACCACACACAATAATCGACTTTATGATATATATGTATTTTTTTCCTGATCAAACACTTTGATAAAAGACGGCTAAAAAAATAAAAAAATAAAAAAAGACTTGCCAAAAATTCAATTCAGAGTAGTAAATAAAGAAAAACCAAGTCAATTATCTAAATAGTTTAGTGTTTATATTTTTTCCATTGGAAATAAGAGGTTTTGAGTTTGAGTTGCATGAAATGCAAGTGAAATGAAATAAAAAATGAGAAATTATTGTTCCCATTGTGCAATCAAGATAAAATAAATATATAAATAAAAAAAAAAAACCACACTTTGTGATGCAGCACATTTTATTTTATTTTTTAAAAAGGCCAGTAGCAAACAAACAATATTCTGGAATAATTTCATTTCCAAATAGATCCTTGCACGAGATTGCCCTCACATGCTACAAATTAGCCTGTGATCCCCGGGTCATCAAAGACAAAGTAAAAATCTTCTTGGATCCATATGAACTAAATCTCATCGTCTTTAGTTGTGGCTTGTGAACCCATTTTCTCCATAGGGATGCATCATTTCTTGTCCATAAGAACTCTAA